GCTCAGGTAACTCTAGACAGATACTTCAGTGAATGGATTTCCCTATAAAGCAATGTCTAAAGGACAGAGTAGTGCGGCGTGGAATGACATGACAAATTCAAAAAATGTCGATGTGTTTGCATTTTTAGATGCACATTGCCTCTAGGAGCAGAATGGGTGCTGGGCTTCAGTAGTTGTGTTCACCAGTAACGTGAGATTCTTACTGTTTTACATTTTGTTTTACACCTGAGGGGCTCAAAGAATGTCTCTTTTCTTAAGGAAAACTGAGTGGAGAGTGACTGTAAAGTTATTAATCTGTTCTTCTAGTAAAATTGGCATAGACCATACAATAAATAATTTCTTACTGGAATCTCCTCTTTAGGAAGCATGCATTTTTAAAGGTCAAGGATATCAGATGTAGCAGTGCCAGAAAAAAATTGGCTTCTCTAGTCTGGGTGAACAAGGCTAATTTTCAGGGGGAGGGATCACTCAATGTACTTTAAAAGTAAATAGGTAAAAAAGGCCAAAGTGCCCTCCCATTCCAAGGTGCAAATCCACAGGAACTCCTGCCTTTCTCCCTTCTTCCTGAGACAGGGAGTGACCTGGATGAGCCGGTGGGTGGCGGGTACAGTGCTTCCTCGGTGGCTGTCAGCAGGGGCACCCACTCTTGGTGTCTAGAGTCTGAATGCGCATCTAGACACAGAGAGCCTGCCTGAGCAACTGTGCATGTCAAGCTTTTTAGTTCAGGCATCTTTCTCCAGGCCTGTTCCCTCCTGTGGAGGCTAGCTCAGGGCCCTTGCTAGTGCTTGCAGCAAAGATTCCACCACCGGCTCCCTTTAGACACCCATTGTGGCAGACAGCTCTTGTCTTAGGCCTTCTTTCCATAACAGATGAAAAACTTTAGAGTTAGCTTTCTAAAAATAGATCCCTTTTTACCTACATGCATTCTTCTCTTTTCTTTTTTTCTTTGAGTTTGGGTTATTACTATGTCGCCCAGGCTGGAGTGCAGTGACACAATCATGGCTCACTACAGTGTCAACCGTCTGAGCTCACGCGAACCTTTTGCCACAGCCTCCCTAGAAGCTGGGACTACAGGTGTGCACCCCCACTCCTGGATAATTTTTTTATTTGTTGTAGCGACCAGGCCTCGCTATGCTGCCCAGGCTGGTCTCAAACTCATGGGCTCAAGCAATCCTCCTGCCTCGGCCTCCCAAAGTGCTGGGATTATAGGTATGAGCCACCGTGCCTGGTCTGTCTGACATCTTCCTAGAACTGTACTCTCAAACTGAAGCCAGAGGTGTGTGGACTGGTTCCCACATGCATGCCAAGTGAGCATTTGTTTCTTGGGTGCCCATCTTATCCAGAGCCTTCTGCTGTGAGCCCTCCTCATCTGGATCCCATTTAGATGTGCTCATAGCCTGTTCCTCGCCGGCCTTCTTTGGCTCTTCCACTAAAGGTGGTGTCTTAGGGCTCATTCTCTATATGTTTGGGTGGGTACTTTCATTCTCTATATGTTTGGGTGGGTACTTCCCAGCAGCTCAGACCGTCGCTCCATCAGCTGCCACCATGGGAGCCTGTTTCGGCCACCCTGTCACTGAGGGAGGATCCTCTGGTGAGTGGGTGATGGAGAGCAGGTCTGTGAGCTGCAGGCTACCTCTGCCATCTGCATGAACCCGAGCCCCGTGGTCCAGGGGCAGACCCAGCAGTCTCACTTCCTTCCCTTTTCCCAGCAGTTAGTTGTCTTTAACCTAACAGGAGACAAGTTCCATCCATACTGCACGCGTGTTGATGTTGCCGTGTGTTGACGTGTGTGAAACTCTGCATAGTGGGTGTCCGCGTGCCTGACCTCTGAGCTGGTGGCCGTCCTGTCTCTGGTCTCCCCTGCCTGAGCCTTCTTGTGTCCTTCACATGTGCCACAGACAGATTAATCTCCCTAGACTAATACTTTTAAAAAAATCATCCTTCTTCCCCCAAGTCATCCGTGAGGCCCCATGCCACAGCAAACTTGAAAAGAGAAAATTGTGAAAAAGTCGTTGTGTGAATAAATGACGGATAAATTATTTTCCACGTGGTATATCAGCTCTTTTCTTTAATAATGCTAATGCTTAGAGAGTAAAGTATGGGTGACTATTGTACATCAAAAAATAAAGTTACAGGTTCATCTTTGTTAGGGTTCCCAAAGATCTAATGGTTAGAAAGAGTTGGGTTTCACAGCAATACAGCAGCCTTGAAAACAGTGAGACTGTTAGTAGCCCAGTGAATTCGCAAATGAAAACGAAGAGTAATTTTTTTTAGCAATAATTAACCCGCCATTTGTGTAATGAGCGTGGATGTCTGAGAAATTGAATAACTTCCTTGCTTAGCTGTTTCCAAGATAATGGACTTGGAGTTCACATTTAGCTAATCGTCGGTGTAAAAATAAAGGAAGCTTTGACTAGAAATCTTTCTGTTAAGTGGATTCACAGGGTCTTGGTTACCTGCTCTGGGATGGTCGTGGAAGTCAGTCCTAATCAGAATTTGATTGACAGGGTGAAATGTAAGTCGAAGTGGATCTTAGCAAATGCCCAATTCTTTGTTGTTGTTGTTGTTTTAAGGGATGCAAACAATTAGAGTCTCATGGCAGTCTCTTGGGATTGAAAATCACAAGAATGAATGAAAATAGTAAGGGCACTGATCTTTCCCTAAGAGGAAATGTGGTTGCCTGAGCCCGCGGGTTCGAGACCCGCCTGGGCAGCGAGACCTCATCTCTACAGTAAGTCAAAAAATCAGCCGGGCGTGGTAGCGCATGCCTTTAATTCCGGCTACTCGGAAGGCTGAGGCAGAAGGATCGCCGGAGCCCAGCAGGTCAAGGCTGCGGTGGCCGGGAGCGGCCCCTGCACTCCAGTCTGGGTGACAGAGTGAGACTCCCAACTCAAAAAAAAAAAAAAAAAAAAAAATAGGAATTGTGGGCCCTGCTTTCTGTTGCAATTCATTGGGAGAAAATTGTTCACCTGTTACATTTTTAAAGAGCATAAAACTTTTTAAAAATAAGATAAAGTAGCACAACTTCAAAATGTCACCTTGTGGGAAGCATTTTAAATAAGGCATGAAAAGATACAATGTTTGCCCCTGACATGCACTCTTGTACCAGCTTTTGTTTCTCTGGTTCTAGGATGGGTTTTAGGAACTCACTCTCAGCTCCAGGGTACACTAGAAGTTTCTTTCTTGCTGGAATCAGTCCCCTGAACGCACAATGGAGGGAAGAGAATTAGATGCACACAAAAGTAAACCAGGGAGTGTGGTGAGTCTAGGATGAGAATTCTAAATGATCTCGTAAGAGAGCCCAAGAGTGTCATACATAAGCCCAGCTACAGAGGAACAAAACATGCCTGTTTAAGACAAGGCCCAACCAGCCATGCTCACCATGGCTGTGACAAGTGAGGAAAATTAACAATCACCATTTTGGTTAAGAAAACCAAAAAGCTCAAAAAAAAAAAAAAAGTAGCGACATGGTATGAAATGCCAGAATCTTCCAAGGTATTCTATTTCTTGAAGTAATAACGTATCAGGTAAAAATAGGCTTAAAATGTTAGAAATTGAGGAAAGGGTAAAGATGTTTGGCCCTTCTCCCTGGGAGGAAGGAAGCAGTTAGATCTGGCTAGCATTTTGACGCCCTGTCCCCTCTGAGCACAGCAAAAGAGGGTCTTATTTAAACTGGAGCATATGGAAGTTAGGGAGATGAGAAGAAGCCTTTCCTTATGTGGACGGTTGTGTAACAAGTGTCCCTCTACAGAGCTTTGCTAGCCTGGGCACTTTTAAAGAGGCTAGATTGTCCAGTCGGAAATAATCTGGGGACAGAGGCACTCGCTAGTTCCTCCACTCTCATAATACAAAGAAGGACCTCAAAAAACCCAAATTTATCTTCTGGAGGACGGGCATCTTGTAGTCCAAGCTTCCTCTGCTAGGTAACTGTTATAGGAACCCATCGGCATCTGTGGACCAGCTAGCATTGTGGGGAGAAGCTACCTTAGGCTTCAGTGGAAAAAAAAAAAAAATATATATATATATATATACACACACACATATATATATATATATAATATATATATATATAGAGAGAGAGAGGTTCTTTCAAGGCATTTGCCAAATTCATCATGAGTGATTTACAAGCGCATACCGTGCTGAGTGTTCAGCAGTTTTGGCCCCAAAACTGCATGACCTCCATGCCCCGCCCTTCCTATTCACCTGATCTCGCTCCAGGCAACTATTTTTGGTTTCCCCAGATGAGAAAAGTCCTCAAAGGGAAACATTTTGCCGATGTGGAAGAGGTGAAGCAAAGACGTCAGAAGCACTAAAAAGCATCAAAATTGATGAGTTCAAAAACTATTTTGAGCAGCTGAAAAATTGTCTCGATAGGTGTACTGCAGCAAACAGAAAGTACTTTGAAGGTGACTGAAGTATAAACATGTAAGAGTAAATGCACAATTTTTTCTAAATTAATTCCGGGGTTTTTTTGGGTCCCCTTCATATAATACACATTCGCAGAATAAGCCCAGTTTATGGAGCATTTTAACACACATCACACATTTTCATCTTTTCGTCACCATGTGAGGAAGATGGTGGTTTTTTCACTCCACACAACACACAAAGAACTAAAACCTTGAGAGTGAGATAGCTCCCAGGTTGAACAGACACTCAGTTTGCAGGCTAAAATCATGCCCCTGTGTCTCTTATATCTCATTCGATGAAATGATTCACAAAAGCACGTGTGAATATATTTCTTAAATTGAAAACCTGCACCTCACTGTATTGACAGTGTCATCACAAACTAAACAGCCATCCTTTCAGGAAAGCCATATCAGAGTTTACCCATTGAACTTGTGTCAGGAAAACAACGAATGTGTGTTTGCGTCTCAAAGGGCATCATTTTATGAACGTCACACACATCACAGAAGTGGCTTAAGGAGGGGTCTTTTCTAGAACTCTGGAGACTGCTCCACTCCGGGGAGAGTCTCTGTTCACTTTTCTTTTTTCTTTTTCAGAGTGAAGCTCTCTCTGGCTTTATCACCATGATGTCACACATCAGAGGATGTCATTGAAAGAAGATACTCAACATGTTTTTCAGTTCGAAGCTGCTTACAATTTTCTTTTGGATCTGAGCAATTCCTAATTTTGGAACATCTGTGGACTACATTAGACAAGGAACCAACGAGGCAACCAGCACCTGCCTCTCTCGTGTGTCCCCGCACGGGACGCTCATCATTGTGCTGTTTGTGTTTTGTTTTTAAACAAAATTAACTGAAGAAGTTATTCTCAAGAAAATGGGATGTTCTCCATTGGCCTTCTTAAATTGTGGCCAGTGTCTTAATTGCTTCTTACTTTCGTTTTGGCAAAGCGAGTGTATCCCTCAGCATGCTAGGAGATTCTATCAATACCCATGAAAGTGGTAAAATCTGGTATTTACTGGCTTATACTCAAAACTACCACAGTCCTACCTCAGTTCAAGGTAAAGCCAGATGTGCGTGGCTGGGGTCCTACGAGACCTCCTGTGTCTCTCTGGAGTACGGTCATCGGCCTTATTGGACTGGTTCAAGTAGACAGCTGCTTGTTGGATTCCAATCCAGGTACCTGCAATGTTTACTTACATACAGAGCCCTGTGTGGGACTGACATTTCTCAACAGAAGTGAAGTCTGGGATTGGACTTTGAAGACAGATGAATAAATAATAATTATTATATGTAACTGAAGCAACCTACTTTTGAAAAATCAACTGTATTGGGTAGTGGGGGGGAGGGCAGGGATCTGGGAAGGGGATGTAGATCTCTTTTTACCTTCAACAGACTTGTTTAATCTTCTCTATGTAGATGTTTATGTAGGTACTTCAAATTGCAAAAGCCTTTTATCCTATTTACAAGCTCAAATGTCTCTGCTATCTTAATCTTGGGCTTGCATTTCTTTAACCAAAAATTCACGTAGGCATGCTTGCAATTCAAGGGTGGTCCAGATCTGGCAGATTCACTTTTTAAAAAAATGTATTATCCTTAATAAAATGCTGTTATGACAGCCAGCGAGTCTGCCCTGAACAAAAACGAGAGAGAGAGAAAAAAAAAAAAAAAAAGGAGAAGAAACTGATCTAAAGAGGCATTCCAGCTCCTATGTTATTCATGGAAACGGAAAAAGAAAAACAATCTTGCGGTACATGTTCCTTGTCGAAGAAATTCCTGACAAGACTTATCCTTGTTTCATGTTTTCAGTGTTCTGAAAATATCAGTGTTGTGGCAATTATCGCAGATGTCACCTAAAACTGCTGAACCTGACCAGCAAAATGTTCTGGAATCTTGTGACTCTCTTGATACACACACAGTTGGAGGGCTAGTGACTTCTCCTCCCATGGGGGCACCCCAGTGCCTGCCTTCTCTGATAGTCATGGAGAGGTTACACTAATTCATTGGAGATGTGAGTAGTTGGGTTTTGGGGGGTTTTTTTGAGAAAAAAATATATATAAATATATAGGTATATATCACTATAGAATAATGCATTAATAAAATGAGGCTTTTTTAGAGGAAGACCAAAAAAATTCAATGTCTTAAACATATATTTAATGGCAATGCAAAAGTCTTCCTGCTTCCGTGCTGAACTTTAGAACAGAGGATTGTATTGCAAGACAAAGTTGAATGTAAAGTGATCCCCCTGGACATTCTTAAGATTTTACTTTTCTGAAATTACACATCACAGCAGTGCACAGACCATACGATGTTAGTTTGAAGGTCAATTTCTGTGTATGATGTACTTTATTAAAGATGTATAAAATGCCCTAAAGGTTTTATTTAGTTTGGGGAACAGGAATCGGTGGGTGGTATTTGTTTTCCAACCCCCACAGGTACGATAGGACTGAATATCGCCCCTGCTGATTACAGTGTATTGACGCATACCTACTTAATGCTCCCTCTCTCTTTAGAATAGTCACGACACCATACACATGGTTCATGCTCATACTGCAACTTAAAACAAGCAAAATAAAAGAGTCGACAATAGACTCAATTTTCCTCTATCCTGTACATTTCAAAAAAGAAAAAGGCATATGCAATATTTACATTTTTAATTTAGTTTACAGAATGGAACCAAAATGTATAAATGTTATGTTTGCTAAAAACTTCACGATGTATATTAGGTCTTTGTACATTTTGCCTGACTTACCTTAAATTTAAAATATTTTTTGCTATATAAACTTTAACAGTTATTAAACAGTGTTTTCTTTTGGGGTACGTATTGTTTCTGGATATCGAGATGTTAAATATATTTCTCGCTGTTGTGCTATGACAAAAGACTTAACTTATCTTGCTCTGTCTTCCACGGGACACGCTGCATCTAGGAGTCAGCGTGTTGCCGCTGGAGACGGGAATGAACTGGATAGAATAGTGCGTTGTCTGTAGTCTATTGATCATGGATGCCCTCCTTAATAGCCATATGCAATAAAATAAAATACATTATTTATGAAATGAGTGCAGCTTCCAAGATTGTTTTCTGGGTGGATTCTGAGTGTCATCGAGAGCTGACCTCCTCTTAGAGTAACTGAGTCAATATGAAGGTACTAAAAGTACTTCAACACCTTTTACGTTTGTTTTCTTTTTTTTTTTTGAGTTGGAGTTTCAGTCTGTTGCCCAGGCTGGAGTACAGTGGTACGCTCACAGCCGTGGCAGCCTCGACCTGCTGGGCTCTGGTGATCCTTCCGCCTCAGCCTTCCAAGTAACTGGAACTGTAGGCATGCACCACCTTGCCCGGCTAATTTTTTGTTTTATTGTAGAGATGAGGTCTCGCCAAGTTGCCCAGGCTGGTCTCGAACCCGTGGGCTCAGGCAGTCTTCTCAGCCTCCCAAGGTGCTGGGATTATAGGCGTGAGCCACCACGCCCGGCCTTACACCTTTTATTTTTAAAACTTTCATTCTGAAAACCAGAAAAGACCCTTGGATCACAACATTTATGAAAACATGCATGCATTATGAAACAAACAAAAAAACAAACAAAAGAATGGTTAATTTTCTTTATATATAGAATCCTTACAATAGGCAGGATGTCACTTTAAATGCCTCACAAATACTAACGTCCCAAGAGCTCATAGCAAACTTAGGAGGCAGGAGTTGCTGTCTTCATGGTATGAGTGGAGGACATGAAAAAACCAGAATTATATTTTGGAGAGCGGACCCCTTGATGTACAGGCTTTTCCCCATTAGGCGAGTATTCTAGGAACCCATTGGCAGTAGTGTACCAGCTAGCATTGTTGGGAGAGGCTGTGTCCGGCTTCAGTGAGCCTTTTTTTGGAGATTCTTTCAACACTTTTGCCCATTTCGTGAGGGGTGATTTACGAGCACACCTGCCTACACCATGTTGAGTATTCAGCAGGTTTTTGGCTAAAACGACATGACCCCGTGCCCCACCTCCCTTTCCATGCCATCTCGCCCCAAGCGGTGTTTTTTTTTTTTGGTTTCCCTAAATGAAAAGAGTCCTCGAAGGGAAACATTTTGGCAACGTGTAAGAGGTGAAACAAAAAACGACAGAACCACTAAAAGGCATCAAAGTGGACAAGTTCAAAAACTGTTTTGACCGGTAGAGAAAGCATCTTGATGGCACTTTGAAGGTGGCTGAAGTTTAAACAGGTAAGAATACATACACAATGTTTTATAAATAAATTCTGGGTTATTTGGGGTTCCTCCTTGTAGATGAGACAGAATGACTTACTTGAATACAGACATACACGCATTCCGTGGGTGGCAGGGCCAGGAATCATTCCAGCAGGGCAGCCTAGAGTCCGCTCAGCACTCTCTGTTCCTTCCCCGACCTGCGTGCAGAAATACCACTCCACACCTCTGGAACACAAGACGCAAATGCGTCAGGCCCAATGATGCCTGTGCATTTTTATCAAGGACAGTGTTACCTCCTCGTTTGAAATATTTTTTCCTTTTAAATTTGTTTTTAAACTTTATGTGCATATGTATTTATTTATTTGCAGAGATGGCATTTCACTCTGTTGCCCAGGCTGGTCTCAAATGCCTGGCCTCAAGCGATCCTCCCGCCTCCCAAAGTGCTGAGATTTAAATGCACCAGGCCTGAAATATTTTTCTTTACCTCCACTTTGCCCTAAAATTGGAGTCATGGGATAATGTGCGTGTCGTCTCTTGAACAAATAAAATCAGAGCAATTTGGAAGGTGATTTTTAAATGATTGTTTTTAAGTCAGCAAGACTGGCTCACATGGTGGCGTGTGTGGGAACTTGTCAGGGGTGACCACAGGCCAGCGTCTTCCTGTTCGTGCCCGGATGGAAGGTTCTAGCAGAGCTGTGAATCTGCAAGGCTTGATGTCCCCAGTCTGCTAACCTTATAACGGTGAAGGGGCAAATGGCCCTTGTCATTCCAGGGGCGTCGAATAAGATAGGAATAGGCAAATGGTTCACCCGAGAGGACCACTGTAGATCATATCCGTGGAGGTGGCATTATTTCGAAGGCCCACAGGTCCTGGAAACATTCGCTCCAAACCAGTTTGGAGACTTTTATAAGAACGTTGCATTACAGGAAGGACAAAGATCCCAGTGCAACCGATTTTGAAAGAGTTGGGTTCAGACCCATTGATGGCCTCGGGGGCTGGCTCAAAAGATGCATGTTTAGGCCACGCACGATTTCTCAAGCCTGTAATCCCAGCACTTTGGGATTGCCTGAGCCCACGGGTTCAAGAACAGCCTGGGGTAGCTGGACTCGGTGGCTCAGCCTGTCATCCCGTGCTTTGAGAGGCTGAGGTGAGTGGATGGCCCGAACCCGTGGGTTCGAGACCCGCCTGGGCAACTTGGCGAGACCTCATCCCTACAATAAATCAAAAAATCAACCGGGCCTGGTAGCACGTGCCTGTAATTTGACTACTCGGAAGGCGGAGGCAGAAGGATCGCCGGAGCCCGGCAGGCGAGGCTGCGGTGGCTGGGAGTGGCCACTGCACTCCAGTCTGGACAACCGAGTGAGACTCCAACTAAAAACAAAACA